GCTTGCGAATGAGAGAGCGCGAAAAAAGAAAAAAAGACATGCATCAGTTCGGCTTTTTTATGCAATGGAGTCAAAAATTTAGTATAAGTACGCAAACTTGTCATTTTACCTATTCTATTATTTTTCATGTGAACTTCTCACCTTATTCGAGTGACGTGAAAATTGTATGATTTTTCAAAAGTAATGCGAGATTTAAGATCAATTAATGTTGAAAGAAGGTAAAATTTAATTTAGAAATTAAGAAATCAAACGAATGTTCTTGAATTGGTAATTTTATTTATATCTTTCGAATATTTTCTTTATAAAGCAAAATATTATTGATGATACTATAATAGTAGTATTATGATATAATATTATTCAAATGGAAATTAATTATATTATAATATCGTGATTAATATTAATAATTTTAATATTAAAGTAGATTTAACCTCTGACAAGCTGGAATTATAACATTTGTCTTTTTTTAACTATTTGTTTCACGAAAAAAACTTTACGATCGTGTTTTATATTTTCTTTCGAACGACTGTTCAATGGTTTGTTGCTCAACAGAAATAATCAAAATGAAGTGTGATCAGCCAAATCCATGAGAATAAGACACATTCTAATATTATTAATGTCTATTTCATTCTTCTTTATAAATAGGCAGAAGAAAAATTAATATTCTATTAACCGAGATCTGTCAGGTGCCACTGTTTTTGAATTTTATCACGATCGTAATACGACAATATTTTATATTCTAAACATTGAGAACGAGTTCTAAATTCAGATTATTGACTTTTATCAAGTTTACGATTTTTTACAGCCGTGGAAAAGGAAATCGATTCTCGATGTTTTGATATTAGCCGTTTTGGCAAGGATTATTCGTTCGATAATTGATCAAGTAATCATAAATATTATACATATTAAATCGAAGGAGATATATCACTGTGTAAAATGAACGAAGTAACTGCCAATTGAATGCGTCGAAATTAAAAAAAAAAAAAAAGAGAGAGAGAAAGAAAATACAGTTTCAGCAAATCTGTTCTCATTTGTTTGCTACGATAACATCGACATTGTAACGTGAGCTAAGAGAGAGTAAAGAGTAAACGATTTCGTGAGATCGACGATGTCGAAAGAAACGTAGGTTGTACGTGTAAATCTCAAGGGTTATATAGCAATATAACAGTGATATATACATAATATATATAAATATCTATACGTATACATATAATATATTTGCGTGTAAATAAATGAATTTAAGGCATATGACTATAGTAATCTTTTCTTATTAATATCGGGCTCCTCCTTTCCATCCAACGTAAAGAGAGAATGATATTCAATTATAAAAGGCACGAAAGTTTAATGCTTTAAATACAGGGACCGTATTTTGTTTACCTTTTCTTTCTTTTTATTTTCAAGAAATTTCTTGTTAAATAAATTGTGTGAATAAATAAAGAAATTTTGAGAGAAGAAAAATATTTGAAAAGTTAGAAGAAGTTCTACGTGCCATTAAATTTAATTTCATCGTAATAAATTTCGTGTAACGATAGCCAAGGTTTTTAAACAAAGTGCAACAAGAAAAAAAAGATATAAATTATATATAGTTATATAGGAGTTTTCTGGCGAAAGTATCCATAAAACAAAATGTTGAAATAACTAAATTATGCCGAAAGTTAAAAATAATATAATGGTTCTTAGAAAACTTTGGTTTTGTTTTTCATTTCTAAATAATCAATAAAGATTTTGTAATAATTTAGTTTAAGTAAAAAATATACTTGGTCTTTCCTCAATTATTAACTATATTTTTATGATTTGTTTTTATCACATATGAATAATTGCATCGTTGCATTTATATCATTTTTTACCTTTCTATCTCGCATGAGTGATAAAGCGATGACGAATGTAATACATAAATGTTTTAAAAATATTTGCATTATTCATAAAATATACGAAACACGCATTTTTTTGCATGAATTTGTATACATGAATGAATACCAATAAATATTACGTATATTAAATTAAATATTTAATTAAATATATATCGTGTACTAAGATTTCAGGTAAAAAAAATAGCCTATTAACTAAATTATTGTCTATATAATATATAGTTAATATAAATATTAACTATATTGTCTAAATCTAAATTATCTTGCTTATATAAGTGTTATAAAATATAACACTTTCATCACTTCCAAAGCTTTCTATGCATGAAAAACAGAAGAATATTACAGAATTAAGATGAAAAATGTTACCTAAATTAATAATTTTTTGACATATATAAGTTAATATTTTTTTATAAAGAATGTTGAGCTGCATCAATTAATGAATCAAAAAATATATTATTTCATTTAAAAAAGTGGATCTCAAAATCTTCGAAATCCTTCTATCTAAAAAAAAAAAAAAATTATTAGTACTATGTTATGGCTCCGTCTGTACTGAATAACTTTCGTTAATAAAACTTTTTTATATCTTCAAAAATAACGAAGATATTTAAGGTGATCAAGTTGTTCATCTTGTATATATGTGAAGTATACATTTCGAAAAGAATTTTTTTACTAATTAAATAATTCATTAAATTAAATTAAATTTAATTTATTATTGAATTTTACTAACTCGTTCTATATGTTTGAAAATATCACTTATTGTCCCTGTCATTTATTTGCAATTGTTAGAAATACTTTAAAACAATCTTTAAAACAATCTCTGACTCATTGTTAATGACTTATTTATTTATGACGTAAAAACGTCACGAGTTCTGTTTTTTTTTCTTTTTTTTTAGCATTGACGTTCTTCGTGTGTCATTCGTATGACGTATAACGTATACTAGAATTACTGATTACCGAATATGTATATTTACCATGCATATTATATGTATCTATATCATATGTATTGCGTGTTATGTATTATTGTAATTCAAATGATATTAATTAAAATTAATCAGTCCACATAATTATTACGTTATTTAAACAAAAATCAATACAAATTTTAATAGAAAGATACGCGTATCTTTAATTGTAAAAGTAGTAAATCTGAAATTTGTCACTTTGAAGATTTGATAGTTTCAATGTTAATCAAAGATTGTGAATCTTTATGCATTTTTAGGTAATTTAAGATTTCAAAAATCACCAGATATTCTAAAAATATATAAAATATATTAAAATATATTAAAAGACATTTATTGTAATATTTAGTATGTAGATAAGACAAATTTCAACTTAGAGTCATTTCTTCAATTATGCTGATAATAATAATTGCACAATGACAAGAATATTGCATTTGTGAACATTTGTAATCGAGTAATTACTCTCCATAATCGACTGTTGCTTTACGAGCGCATTTATAGCAATTTTGCTTCTAAATTTTTGACAAAGAATTATTACACTTTTATCCAAAATGAAGGCAACGTAAATCTATATTAAATTTATTCATAAAGTAGAAAATTCTCGAAACGTAGCTTCATTATAATTGACGTAGTTAAAATTAAAAAAGAAAATGAAAAAAGATAGATAAAAAGTGGGAAACACCACGTTTT